CGACCGGTCCACCAACCGTGAGCGCTGCTGACGCCGCACACTGCTCCCCAGCCCGTGAGACTAGCATCAGAATAAATTTCGTGGCTGAATTGGTCTGATGTTAAGTCGTTGTAGGCTAACTGAATGCCATTGCGCCACCAAAGTAAGTCTGGGGTCAAAGACTCGAGAATGCGTATGGTTTTGTCGCAGAGCCAGGTACTTTTCTCGCTCGAAAAGTTTGGTGTAAAGCCACCCATATTTCACTGCGGGACACGCCGACGTAAGAAGTCCTACGAAATGTGCAAATCTACGGATCTTGCATGTGCGTGTACGGCAATTAAGAAAAAAACTTTACTTTGCGTAAAATTTTGTCACGTTTATCGCACGGTAACTCTAGTGCAGCGCCCGTATTCGGTCACTATTTTATGTAAAAGTACATATTTTTTAAGCAGGTACATATTGGTACACATTTTTCTGAGAAGTTACATAAAGGTACATATTTTTCTAGAGGTCAACTGGCAACATAAACAAAACATCAAATACAAACAAGTTCTTATTTCAATAGTCATAATAATGACTCATAAATACCTGTCTATCTCAACTCTCAAAGGGTGGTTGTTTGTTATCTTTAAAAACGTGTCAGTTGCATGATAATGAGGATTAAGTTTCTTGCCTTCCTTCTATTTTAAAGGTGCTTGCCTGTGATTTAAAAAATGTGTCTCAGTCTAATTTGCGAATTCAAGCAGCGCAACACGGGAAATGGGAAAGTGCAAATTGAAACAGTCTTGGTTATTGGAAACTGATGTAAATGGTCATCTAATTAAGACTTGGGCAAGAGCGGAATGTGATAAATATATTTTTTGTTTAGTGTGTGATAAAAAAGTGTGTGTTGAACGTGGAAAAACTGCAATTAATCAGCATGCACAGGCTGTTAGCCATAAACAACAATATAAAATAAATAATTCAAATCAACACAAAATTAATCCCAGTGCATTTAACAATGGACCAATACTATTCAATCCTCGAAGAGAATGTACAAAAGCAGAGCTAATATGGACTCTTAGATTGATACAGCAGAATCAAAGTTTTGAATCAGTATCGGGATTAAAAGACGTGATAAAGTTAACTATGCCCGATTGTAGATGGATTGACCATTTTACGTTATCGCCACGGAAGGTATCCTATTATGTATCACACGCATTAGCACCTTATTTTTACAAGATACTAAGTACTGACTTAGGTAATGGAGGTACGTTTTTACTCTTAAATTACCTAATACATTTTCATTAATTTAATTGGATTTCAGGGTATTATTCTCTTCTTTACGACGAAACAACAAATAAATCCAACCAGAAGGAACTGCAAGTACGAATTCTCTATTGGTCAACAGAAAAAAATGAAGTTGTGTCTCGTCATTTGAAAACTGTGTACTTACAACATGCAAAAGCGACAGATATCGTAAAAAGTTTATATGAAATAATTGCCAAGTCCTCTCTACAACAGGAAAAATTAATTATGTTAGGAAGCGATGGCCCTAATGTAAACAAGAAGGTATTTAACACAATTAATGCGGATATAAAAAAATTGCGTAAAGGGTCATTATTGGATGTAGGTACATGTAATTTGCATGTAATTAATAATGCCTTTTTAAAAGGGTTAAACGAATTTGGTAGCAATATATCGGATTTGTCAGTTGCTTTAAAATACTTTTTCAAAGAAAAACCCTCCCGCTTAGCAGATTTCGATTATTGTAAAAATAGCACTAATACTCCTAAAAAACATTTAATAAAACATGTGCCATCTAGATGGTTAACATTGGAAAAGGCTGCTGAAAGAATCATAGAGTTATGGCCAGCCATTACAGAATACTTTTTAAAATATATACCCAAAAATTGTAAACAAGTACTAAAAACAGGAACTTACAAACCATCATTGATATTATTAAAAAAAATACAACCTTTCCTGAACTTATTTTCGTTAATGCTAGTGCCAAAATATTTAATAAATTTAATATTTTATTTCAAAGCAATCAACCTTTAATTCACTTACTTCATTCCCATATTATTGAACTGATTAAAAACTTAATGATACATTTTTGTCGACCTGAAATAATTACATTATTAGATTGTGATAAATTTAATTACAATGAAGTGTTTACGTTAGACAATTACATACCCATTGAGAATTATAAAGAAATTGTTGGTATTGAAGTGTCCAATCAATTTGATAAATGTAAGGTAAATGAACCCGAAAGGTTAATTTTTACAAATAGAGTAAGAAATCATTATGTCGAAGCCTGTAAGCATATCTTTAAGAAAATTCCTCTCTTTGAACAAAACTTATTAAGATGGGTGAAATGTATCGACCCTCGTAATTTTAAAAATTTTTCTACTTTTGAAATCATCAGCATAGCAAAACAAATTCCAAATTTTACCAATTTCAATAACTTGCAAGACGAATGGAATTTACTAAAGTTAGAAGAACTTGGCGCTGCAAATGATTTGAGGATTGATCATTTTTGGAGGGTTATATTTGATTTGCAAGTTAATGGAATTATAAAATATCCTAATTTAAAAAGGGTGCTCCAAACAATCCTTTGTGTTAGTCATGGCAATGCCGATGTGGAAAGAGGATTTTCGTTATCTGGACACATTGTAACCAACGAGCGAAACAATCTTAGTGAATTAACATTAAATTCATTGTTGTTTATTAATGACACAATTAAAACTATGTATTATAATAAAATTGATAATATAGAGGTCACAAATGAATTATTATGTTTCGCTAAGAATGCTCACTCGGCCTATGAAGCATATTTGGAAGAAAAAAGAAGAAGAGAACAAAAAGAAATGGAAACGAAAGTAGAGGAAGAAAAAAACGCAAAAAAACAAGAAATTGAGTTAAAGGAAAAATTGAATGAACAGATAAAAGTTGTCGAGTTAGAAAAAAATTTAAAATCGGTCCAAACTCAAAGCAGTTCTAAAAGGGAGGCAGCAACAAAATTATTAAATGAAGCGAACGAAAGGCTAAAGCAAGCACTAAAGAAGAACAATCTTACAGAGGCAAACATTGCTTCAAGTTTATTAGAGGCTGCACAAAATTTGCAAGCCGAGCAAGACACTTTAACACATGAAGCCAATAAAATTATCAAAAATGTAAATAAACGGAAAGGTGATTTGCTTCAATATTACACAATGAGGGCTAAAAAATCAAGATAATGTCCTTTTGTATGTCGCATGTATTAAATTTAAGTAAAAATTCTCCTTTATATTATATATGCATCTTGATTATTGTATTATTCTTGTTCCTTTTTTAAATAAAAAATACATAATTGGTACATTTTTTGTTGGTGAAAAAGTACATAAGTACATATGTTGTGGGTAAAGAATCGCTACGGGCCCTGCTAGTGTCATTTTTACGGAGTCCAAAAGGAATCCCAAAAATTTACACCTTGTGTCTGGGACCCACACACTTTTCTCTGCGTTAATTAAGAACCCTAACGAAGTCAACAAATTCATTCAAGTTAACAACGTGTTTTCCTGACACTCCTCCTTTGAGGTACCCACAACAAAAAAATCATCTAGGTAATTGACGAGAGTAACCCCCCTGGATCGCAAAAACTGAATCACAGGTTTTATAAGCTTGGTAAAAGCATATGGGGCTGAAGCGAGACCGAATGGTAAGCAAGTGAACTCGTACAACTTACTGTCGTACGTAAATCTTAAAAAACGTCTATGCACTTTGCTTACTGGAAGTGAGAAATAAGCGTCTTTTAGACCGATCGAGCAGGCGAAGGATCCGGGCTGACACAGCCTTCTTGCCGTCCTTGCATTGATCTCTCTATCTCACTTTTTATATTTTTGTTAAGGAGCGACGTTAGTAAGTTACGCCGAATAGTGGAAATACGGCTAAAAAGGTTGGTACTAAGTTTTCCACAAGTACACAAGGGAGCGAAGACCTCGGTCCTCAGAGCCGACGACATATTTATTGAATTCAATGCGTGCCCGAGGGCGCATAGACCTTTAGTTAGGTGGTTTTGTAACTCCACGTAGGAGTTATCCCTTGTCAAATTGTGCTTGTCTAGAATTGTGGCCATCTCCGGATTAAGCTTCGGCGGTTCTAAGTTCCGAAGATTATCAGGAAAGTCGTACTTGTTTAGAAGAGTCGATACGTCCCCTTTGGGTAGGCCTTCTACTAAGAAGTGACGCCAACGAGACGCTAGTTCTTCGTGCACCGAAAAACTAACTCGTTTACCCTTTTCGGGATTTTCTCCCAAGATCGGATCGGATCGGATTGAAAAGCTTCAATGAAATTTCTAATACGAGTGACCTGCCCTTTGACAGACCGTCGTTTATTTTTAAGGCTTTAGCTTCAGCCATGATTTCAGTTACTAACATGTATTAATTATGCAGTAATATAGGATAACTAAATAAAATGGAGTAGATCGGAGAATATAGAACCACAGACTTACCAGAGACTTTATAGGCGTCCCAGGATGATTCCTCCTTAATGGTTGAAGGATCAGACGTTGCTTTTCGGACGTTATTAGTTGGCTAAGGTTCACCTTCTAATCACTCACACCTTCGCGTTAATTAGGGTAAATCGAGGAGAGATGGACCAGTAGGAGAGACGGACCACCAGCAGTATCTTGTCTGTTGTTGCATCAATCCTTGTTACGGCGGCGTAAAATTATGAGGCAATGTTGCCGTTAATCAGTCCTACAGTTACACGCGCGTGGGTGCAGTACTTTTTAATTTATTGGGAAATTACTTTTTTATGGTCCTCGAAATTTTTCAAAGTGTTTTTCGTTGTTGAGTTATTTCACTTAAGGTAAGTTTTAAGTAGAAATTTAGACCACTCATAGGCAGATATGTATTCCGAAATGCACTTAACCTCGAAAACGCTGTGTTCAAGTAATTGCATTTCAACAGGATTTACTGGTCCATCTATCCTTCACTTTTAGGAGAGACGGACCAGTACACTATAGGTGAGATGAACCTATATCGTGTTGTTCCAGGATAATGCCGAATGAGTATACGCGTAAGCAGAATACGCCTAAAAGGGGTTGTTGGTCCGCAGAAAATTTAACTGATGCCGTTAATGCGGTAGTGTACGGTCAAATGGGTGTCAATGAAGCAGCAAAAGCGTTCGGCATTCCAAAAACCACATTTAAACGCAGATTTTCAGCTAGTAATCTGGATAAAACCGACCGATTGGGCCCTGGTAGTGTACTTGGTAGAGAAGCAGAAATGAAGCTCTCTACCCACATAAAAAAATTGCAGAAAAGTGGTTTCGCACCCACTAGAGGGGAAGTGCGCGTTAAGGCATATAATTTAGCCGAACGTCTTGGAATTGAACACAAATTTAATCGAGAAGAGGGTGAGTTACATGAACTCTTACTTGAAATTTTAAAACTTTGTAACAAATTGTTGTGCACATTTTTAGGTAAAGCTGGTAATGTATGGCTGCTTCAATTTTTGAGACGAAATCCAGATATTACAGTTCGCAAAGCTGAAAATACCTCAATAGCTCGAGCGTTGGGAATGTCTAGAAATATTGTAGAGAAATATTTTAAAGAACTCGATGCTGTACTCTCTCAAAATAGTTTATTTGACAAGCCTGGCAATATATACAATACAGACGAGACAGGACTACAGCTGAACACGCGAGCAGGACAAGTGCTGGCTCAGAAAGGATCTAAAAGTGTACCTTCAATTAGCACGTGCGAAAAAGGTGAAACAATTACAGTAGTTGCCTGCTGTAATGCAGAAGGGGTTTATTTGCCTCCTTACTGCGTGTTTAAGGGGAAAAATGCTAAAGCAGAATGGGCTGACGGAATGCCACCTGCCTCACGTATTCGCATGTCAGCAAAGTCGGCATACGTGACGTCAGACATTTTCCTGGACTGGCTACAAAACCACTTCTACCTCAGAAAAGTACCCGGGAAAGTCTTACTAATAGTAGACGGACACACTTCTCATACAACCAATCTTGACACGTTGCAATTTGCCGAGGACCACGATATAATTTTGTTTTGTTTGCCTAGCCATACAACACATTATTTACAACCGCTGGATAGGGCATTCTTTAAAAGCCTGAAGGGGCATTATTATGAATCGTGTAGGAGGATGATCAAATGCAACCCCAATAGAAAATTAAATCGGTTGCAATTTGGCAAACTTTTAGGGGAGGCTTGGGGCAAATCGGCTACAGTCAACAATGCCGTATCGGCCTTTCGGTCAACAGGAATTTGGCCTTACAATCCGAATGAAATTCCCGATCACGCTTTTCTAACCCAACCTCCAAATGAGGCTGCAATACATGCAAGAGAAGAAGAGGAACAAACTGGCTCTACAGCAAAATTAAGGGAAACTGAGACCCTTTCTCGCGATGGTGACTCACCTCAACCAGGCCCTTCCGGAATGCACCTTCCTCTCTACCATGAATCGCCTCAACCAGGTCATTCAAAAAAACAGTTGGGAAGTGTTGAAGAAGAAGAAACACCTGGGAAGCTACTTCAAGAACTTTCACCTGTACCCCAGATAACCCCAGCTATCAGAAAAGCTCGTGTGAACCTAATGGGTGACTTAACTTCACCCAATCACATAGCCCTTGTTCGTCAGAAAAAACAAAAACAAAGCCAAACACCTCATCCAAAGGGACAGAGAAAGGAAAAACCTTCCAAAAACAAATTACCGAAATCTACAGATCAAAAGTTGCAGAAGAAACGCAGACACGAGTCTACTTCTTCAGAATCTGATGGAAACGTAATCTTGGATGATTCATCTAGTGGGGAAGAAACGTTGGATGATATCGAAAATCAGTGCGTCGGGTGCCTCGAAGACTATCGCCTTACAAAGAAAAAGGAGGAATGGTTACAATGCATTGTATGTTCCAGATGGTTGCACGATGGTTGCACATCCTACACCAACACATGCCAACGCTGCGGTGCCGCCCCCACTTTAAAAAAAGGGACAAAAACCCTAAATTAATGGATGGTCCATCTCTCCTTTTCATATAGGTCCATCTCTCCTATCCCCACTAGGATAGATGGACCAATTACGATTTTTAGTTTTTTAGAATTTATAATTATTTGTCAAGTTATATTAACCATTAAACTTTACCAAAAGGACCACGAATGTTTATGTTAACGTTGTACTGTTTTGTAGACTTATATTCTTATAAATAAAGAAGTTATCGAAAAATGTTTAAAAGGTGGTCCATCTCTCCTCGATTTACCCTAATTTATTAATCCGGCTCGAAGGACATGTTTGTCGCGTAGGACTATATAATAATCGGATTAAAAGATATTTATTTACCCGATGGAGTGCGTCTCACGACGTCTACATATCGACCCTTAACTTACTGAACTGCCAAATTCACATGTGTCTCAGACGCATTACTCAACCGAAGGGGCGGGTCAGAGACCCGTGTAGGGAGAGTCAGGTAAAGACCAAATTCACCCTTATTTCCTTAATATTTCTAAATTAGTAATAGATAATAATGTAATACGTTACTTTACAAAGGAATGTAAAGAGGAACGTACAAACCCCAATCTACGGAAAAATTTCTAGTGAGCTGAATTTTTCTATACACCTTTATTACGGCATTTTAATATGTGAAAAATCGACATTGATTTCGTGCCGGCTAAAAAAGTTATAAAGGTCAAAAGGTCGCGAAAATCACTCTTTCGCGAATATCTCGCGACTTATTGAGAAGGCTACAAAAATGCATTCATATACGGTAGGTATTGTATACCGTACACCAAGGCATAAACTTGATTGTTTTTTATTCATGTTTTTAAGTACCTGTATTAAAATTAAAGTCATGAAGATGTTTGAAAAAGAAACCCGTTTGAAACAATTCTGCAGAAAAATTTCAACAAGAAAATTGGGAGTTAAAAAATAACATACTGCAACCTGTAACAACAACTTCATTACCACCAGCACCATGATCTACTAAAGACAATCTTTTGTAGGTATACAAAAGGTTATGGCGGCAAAAATTGGTTTGAGATGCTCTAAAGTTTGAGGATATTGACAATGAATGAATTAAAAAAAATTACATACAAAAGTGTATTTGTATTTTTCAGTTTTAAATAGAAAATTCCTCACTCTCAAATAAATAAACCTTTTATTACATATCATGGATTATGCCTACAGGGCAAACCATGTAAAAAATACGCGATTTGCATTCTACCTCGGGGTGGTGCGGAAACGAGTGCATAATCATGATGTAGTCGCATTCTCAGCGCTCTACTCCAAAAATGGTTCATCTTACAGAAAAATTGAAGAGACGTTCTTTACAGATAATTGCACGGTGAATAATTTTTGTAATAACCGCTATTGTTCTCCGAGCAATAGGTCGCGAGATATTCGCGAAAAACTGATTTTCGCAACCTTTTGACCTTTATAATTCTTTTAGCCGGCACGATATCAATGTCGATTTTTCAAATATTCATTAAAATGCTGTAATGAAGGTGTACACAAAAAGCTCACTAGGAATTTTTCCGCAGATAAAACCTATAATGACTGGACTAAATATATTTCGTATTTTGAAGGATTAAGAAAATTCGCCTGCCTGTTTCACGTGTCAGTATTAAAACGTTTGAAATTGAACTTTTCGGTAAAAAAAAGCTTTTGACATGAATCTCTTTGTGTTTTAATCTCTTGCTTTAGTCGGTTGAAAGTTCCCTGTTATCTGTATCGCATGAAGAGAGGTTTTAAAGTTGGAACCTGTTGTTTTGTAATCTTGCAGCTTGGAAATATCCATTCATTCCAACCAAGTATAAAAATGGATTTAGATGCGACAGTTTCGAATTGCAAAGTTAGATTTATCGATGAGAATTGCATATATCAAAGTGATATGATTATCATATACTTAGTCGCATTTAATCATTTTTAAGTTGACTGATCAAAGCAAATGTTCACTTAACCAATCATAGAAATTATTTGTGTTTGGTAGGTAGGTACTAGTGAAGTTTGATAGTCCATTAAAACTGAAGAACTACGCAATTGACGACAATTGAATTAGAAATATATGTTAGCTAATTCAAATGAGCGTTCATCATTCTGCTTTTCTGAAAATAAAACAGGTCATCTTCCTCTAAAAGCGATTAATAATGTCTCCCTTCACTCAAACAATGAAATACAAAAACGCCTGCAGCTGCACCTCACTTGGTAAACATAAGCCTTACGCCCCATAAAGTTATTTTATAACATCGTTTGCTTTTAAAAATGTAGAGGAAGAATTCTCATACGACGCGATAAGCAAAGTTTGTTTAAAATGCGTTTTAAAACTTCATCACTATGCGGCAACCGTTGCTCTTTTCGGCAATTCTTATTTTCGCGAATTCAAGACACCCCACGCAGGAAAATATAAATAACATTTTGCGAATTTTAAAACAAAACGGGACTTCATATCTTAGAAATTAGGTAGTAAAAGCCGTATAATACAAATACCTACCACCCTTCATGGTTATTTCAAACGTAGCGTTTCACTTAAAGGGTTTTGTCTTACGATCACGTAAAATCGAATCTGAAGTTCATGAATATAATATAAAGTAATCTACAGGCAGCCCATCGAACGGAGCCATAAATTGTACGGCGAAATACATCATTTTTGTCGAATTTTACATTAATCCCCTTCTGTCATATAAACATAAACTGCAATGATTCACATTTTCAGTAATTGTGATAAATATGGTATGTTTAATTAAATCGTAATCCTTTAATAAATGGTGTAATTATGTGCAATCTGCATGAAATTCATATTACATTATCTCCTGCTAATCAATATGAGCACCTACTCGATGAAAAGTATGCAGAGTGCATGTGGTGTAAGGCACAACTAGCAGGCAATTTTAATCTAAGAAAATTATTCAGTGATACCAGACGGAATCCTCTGGCTGCACTATATTTTATTTCATTTTTTCAGTTTTAATTAAGAACACTTCCGTTTTACGGTTATGCACACTATGGTATTCGCAACAAGATTGGTCGCAATTAATTTTCCACCGACCTTAATCTTCACAGCGCCTCATAACCTAGGTAGACTAATTTCCTAATTGTTTTGTGAATGGATTGCTTCGTCATTGCTTATATTTCGTGATAACTAAGCCACTTCTACATAACACATCTCTCAATTACCTATGCAGGGTGATTCGGGAGGAAATGGAAATATTAATAATAATAATAATAATAATAGCCATTTATTGAGTTGATACAGATTGGTTAAAAATAAAATTAATATAGATTTACCCTTATACTTTTGTACAACCCAATGGGGCGAAGTTCAGACACGTAGAATAAACTACCGTCTGTTCTACCACTTAACCCCTTCTCATTAGATTTTTAGAACTGTAATGGCAACAGATAAGCAGTTCATACCAACTAAAGCAAAAAATTGGGTAAATTTGAATGAGAAAATCATGAAATCAAAACCAAACTAAGAGAAATAAAAAAATAAATAAATAAAAAAGAAAAATGATATGAAATGATTATGGTATGAAAGTGATACTAGGAGCTAACTAAATCATAACTGACTCAGATATAATATCTTTTTAAAACGATTATTAAACTGTTTTACTGTACAGTTTTTCAGTTCATACGCAAGGGAGTTATGCAATTTAAAGACGTTGTACGTAAACGATCTTTGGAAGATAGTAGTGTAGTATCTAGGTGGTCTCAAAACATTTTTTGACCTAATATTTACGTTATGTGCATCGCCACTGAACGCAATCCTGGAGTACAAGTACGGTGGAACTTTAGTAGTAATGATACGATGGTACAAGGTGGCAGCATGTAATAACCTTCTATTAGCCATGTTCAGCCATTTGACTTCAACTAACTTATTACTAATATGATCGTGCTTCCTTACACCAAAAATCAAACGAAGACAGGAATTTTGCATGCGTTGAATGCGTTTCATATCGCTGACATCTAAGCATGGGCCATACACAGTATCGCAATGTGATTGAAATGCGATAAAACCAGTGCTTCGCATAAAATTGCTCTAATGTTTCGATTAAGATACTGCCTATTGCTATATATTAGTTTTAGATTGCAGTATGCTCTACGAAGAAGTTCAGAGATGTGCTTTTTGAAACGTAACTGGTAGTCAAAGGTAACACCCAAGTTTTTTACATCGTCAACCACAGGTAATAATTTATCTTTGATTTTAATGCTATCAATAGTATCACTTCTGGTCTTGACTCTGCCAAAAAGCATCACGTAACATTTGGACGTGTTTATTAACAACCCATGTCTTTCTGATGTTTTAATTAGGCGATCTAAGTTTACGTTTATTATTCTATTGGCTTGATTTATATCATACCCACCAAATGTATAAACCAATTGGGTATCGTCAGCGTATAAGTGATACGCACAATTGCTTAGAGATTTGGTAATCTGGCTAGTGTAGATCACATCAAGCAATGGGCCCAAAATGGATCCCTGAGGCACGCCATTGATCAAGGATAGCGGTTTAGACACATTATCTTTAAAAATGACGCGTTGAGTACGATGTCTAATATAATTTTCAACCATACGTGTCGACATGGCATCAAAACCAATATACCTAAGAACAGCGATCAATAAGTCATGATTAAGTCTGTCAAAAGCTTTAGAGTAGTCTAGTAAAATCAATACTGCTAGATGATTTCGATCAATGGCGGACATAATTGAGTCAGTAACATGCAAGAGTGCTGTATTGCAGCTATAGCCTGATCTAAAACCCGATTGCATTTCTGGTAAAATTCCTTCCTTCTCAATATAGCTTCTAATTTGAGCTGACATAATTTTCTCTAATACTTTAGATATACATGGCAATATGCTAATCGGGCGTAAATCACCATACCCATTTGGCACTTTTACCTTTGGTAAAGGTATAACATTAGCCACCTTCCAGGGTAACGGGAATGATCCATCTAATAAACAAGAGTTAATTATGTGCAAAATATAGGGTAATAAACGTGGCAGACACAATTTCCACA